AAGCTTTCCCACATAGGAAGACTGATGCCTTAACAATAGCTAAAAGGTTATTAAGAAACATATTTTCCCCCATAGAGCATTCATGGAGAAATCTCCAGTGACAGCAGTAGTCATTTTCCTGGACAAGTTATAAAACAGTTAAATACGGCTATTACAAATACAATAACATAGGGCAAAGCACACTGAATCAATTGTATTACCTTGGTCAGAGGTATTGTAGACTGACCCTCAGTGGACAAGCTGACCCCTATGAAACAGTCACTGGAAGTCCTATGCCCCTAATAAGAGAACCCCATGTATCTCTCATAACCTCTGAGAGGACTAAGTGCCATATATAAAGCTTTAATGCATTGTCTCAACATGTTTTTTGTTTTTTGGTTTTTTTTTTTTTTTTTTTTTTTTTTTTTTTTGACAGGCAGAGTTAGACAGTGAGAGAGAAAGACAGAGAGAAAGGTCTTCCTTCCATTGGTTCACCCCCTAAATGGCTGCTATGGCCAGCGCACTGCACCTATCCGAAGCCAGGAGCCAGCTGCTTCCTCCTGGTCTCCCATGCGGGTGCAGGGCCCAAGGACCTGGGCCATCATCCACTGCCTTCCTGGGCCACAGCAGAGAGCTTAACTGGAAGAGGAGCAACCGGGACAGAATCCGGCACCCCAACCAAGACTAGAACCTGGGGTGCCGGCACCGTAGGCAGAGGATTAGCTTAGTGAGCCGCAGCGTCAGCCAGCTTACGTATAATATTGAACAAAACTGAATGCTGTGTGTCTTTTCCCTGATTTGCTACTATGGAAGGCTTAATTAAGGTGCTGATATCACTGTTTCTTTAGACATGGCCACCAAATACATTAGGGAAATTTTGTAAGGAAAATGGAAAATATGGTGTGTTTACAGGATCAACTAACAATTGACTTGCAGGCATCCTAAGTGGTAGATGGCAAGTTTGGCTTTTCCAAGGTTGTCTAATTTCTGTGTTCTAGAGTATCTCCAGGTTATTAAGACTTGTGGTAACAGGCTAAAGCTCCATAAATCAGACCATTCTACAGCAAACTATGAATCTTAATCACCATCACACCCTAAACACAGACTGTGACCAATGAGACTCAATTGCCGTTCTATCCTGCCAGAAGTCTGCTTTGATTTTTATTGGCTCAGTTCACTGAGGCTCCTGTTAAGGAGTACACTTCAGTTTTTACAGTGCTTCTCCTGATAGTTATCATAATGGTCCCTTGATGCGCTCACTCACTCTTTTGCTCTCTCTCTTTGTATGTGTATATATACATATATATACATATTTATACAAACCCTAAATGTTTGTATGCAACCATCCATTTGGTGTTGAATGGTCTCACTTCCACTAGATCAGCAAAAATATAAAAAATTATTCAACTGTACGTCATTTATGATGTGACACAGAATGGTACCAAGGTCCAGAATTTTAGTCAATCTCTTGAAAATTGAGAGGCTGACCAAAAGGGGAAAACTGTTAAACTAAATTGACCTGAGGACTTTGTACTTGGAACCCTTATGGAATTGACTGTAATCCAACTTTGTGCAAACTAACAGACAGGCTAATTTAGGAGTATACTCTTGCAATAAAAAGCTTCAGTCTCAACCAACACATAGGCATCATGTTTCTGTCAATTGCACTCAAGTGGCCAAATGATTAAACTGTATTCAAATAAGGCAAATGCTGAGCTATAACCAATAGGGCCATCTCTGCACCTCATTTCCTTTTTCTGTACTGCCTTTCTGTTTTCTGTCCATAAATGCCTTATAGTATACAGGACAGACTAGAGCATTCTGTACCTGTTCTAGTTGGGAGGGTTGCCCAATTCTAGAATTATAAATAAAAGCAATTAAGATCTGAAAAATAGATTTGTTGTAACTCTTTTAAGCAAAATAATGACCTTCTATAATTAAACTTTCAAAAAATAAAAAACTAAAACATTATTTGCTTCAGTTATTATAAAGCATCTGAATTTCAATTTTCGAGCTAACAATAATTTTAAAGAACTCCTTATTTTTTACATCATCTATTGAGAGATATTTTAGTATTAAAAAATGTAAAAAACAATGCATTAAAGAAGTTTAACTTACCAAAACTTTCAATGAATATGTCTCTCTAACAACACTGGACAAATAAATATACTATCTGTGCACTCACAGAGAAAAATCTGTGTGTCATTCTATCAATAACAATGACTTTTTTTTTTAAACAATGACATTTGATACTCTATTTTTAGCTTTCAGAGGCAAGGTCATAAAATCACAAATCCCTCTGTTAGCATTTCTATATTGTGAGTGCTCCCACTTCTCTTTAAACATTATGCTTGGGCCAGGGCTGTGGGCATAGCAGTGGAGCCACCACCTGCAGTGCCGCATCCCATTTGGGTTCCAGTTCCAGTCCCAGAAGCTCCACTTTCGATCCAGCACTCTGCCATGACCTGGGAAAACAGCGTAAGATGGTCCAGGTCCTTGGGCTCCTACACCCACTTGGGAGACCCGGAGGAAGCTCCTGGCTCCTGGCTTTGGATTGGCCGAGCTCTGGCCGTTGCAGCCATTTTGGGAGTGAACCAGTGGATGGAAAATCTCTCTCCCTCTCTCCATCTGTCCCTCTGTAACTCTGCCTTTCTTTTAAAAAAAAAAAAAAAAAGTGTGCTATAAGGACTGGAGTTTGTCTTTGTGAAAAAAAAAAAAAAATAAATGAAAGCTGATAAGACCACCCAAAAATTAAAAATAACCAGTGTTCCATTTTAGGCATATATCAGTTGAACTTAATATTTTAATCACAAAAAGTAAAATTATGAAATAAAAAAGTACAAACTGTAATCTGCACATCAGATTACTTCTTTAAATGTGTGTCAGAGTTCACAGATAAACATAATGAAAGGAAATATGGTAAAATATTTTTTAATTTTACCTTCATCATAAATTAAGGCATAAGAAAAATTTTGAAACCACAATGTGTACATATGGAAAACTCACCACTGAAAGATGAAACTAATTAATATAACACAGTATAAGCTTTAATATATAAATCAGATGCCATTTCATCAGCTGTTAGTCACATCACTCTAAATTTTATATTATATATTAAAATACTAAAAAGCTAAAAAATCATTGCAATATAGATGCAATGTGGGAAAATACATATTTGTGGTTTTATACACAATCTAAATTAATCCATTCTATACAACAGTTTTCCAAAATATAAATGGCACTTTACATGCAAGAGAACATACCAGTTGAATGTCCTCATATAATACATTGGAAAATAAAGAGAAAATACCCTTTCAACAAGATAGTTACATAGCAGAGGTGGAATGCAGAATAAAATTTTGCCTTAACACAATCTTGGACAAGATTTAAAAAATATGAAAAAACACAGTTTCTACAATTTTCAATTAGCATTTTTAAAAATGAACTCTACTGTGATTTTGTGTTTTCTACTCATTTTACAAACAAAGAAAACATAAAAAGAGAAGAAAAAAAAAAACCTGATCTTTTATGAATTTTAAACATCAGCCCGCCTATGGGTTGCATTTAGGCTGCTTTTCTGTTGACAGTTTCCTAAATTACTTCTGCCACTCTGAATTGTGCATCAGCAGTCGGATGAGTTTTCCAGACTTCATTATGCCATTGTGTAACCATAGCTGCCACAATGTAGTGCCACAAGAAGTCTGTCCTTGAGTATTTCTTTACTAGGGTATTCAGGTAACTTCAGCATGTTGATGCTTTAAAAGAAAAACATACTGCCATTAAACAGGATATCTATGAAATTTCTCACTGTTTTGTCTAGCTGTGAAAACAGTGCTCTTAATTAACATAATACCACCCTCTGAAATTTGCATTCAAATTGGAAAACCCTGAAGTAGTATTTAAAAAGAAGAAAAAACTGCTGCAATGCAGTTTCTTTTAGCATGCAAATTTAGTGGAAGAAAATAAGTTCTTTTTAGTTTAAAATAAGCAACAGGGCAATTTAATTTGAAGTGACTGTGTAAATCAGTGATACTGATGACATTGTAACTTTAGTAATACTTAAACTAGGTTCAATTAAGTTACAGGTAGGTAGGAATTTCCCTCAAATTTTCTTACCCAAAAAAATGAGCACAAATAACTATATAAGTACTTATTTGTCATCACTGATTCCAAAATCCTAAATAGAGTTCATAGTTAAGAGGTTTTTTTATTTAAGATTTTTATTTATTTACTTGAGGGGTAGAATTACAAACAAAGAGAGGGAAAGACAGAGAGAAAGATCTTCCTCTGGTTCACTCCCCAAATGGATCCAACGGCTGCAGCTGGGCCAATTCAAAGCTAGGAGCCAGGAGCTTCTTCTGGGTCTCCCATGTGGATGCAGAGGCCCAAGGACTTGGGCCATCTTCTACTGCCTTCCCAGGCCATAGCACAGAGCTGGATTGGAAGAGGTGCAGCCAGGACACTTACCAGTGCCCATATGGGATGCTGGTGCCACTGGCGGAGGAAGCTACTATGCCACAGTACCAGCCGCAAGGGTTTCTTCTCAGTGCAGTAATACTGTAGTCAGATCTTTGATCACTCAGAATTAACCAGGAAGCAGCTAGTTAGCCTAATAGTTAAAATGCCAGTTAGGACGCACCCATCCCATGCTGAAGTGCCGGGTTTGGATCCCGGCTGCTCCTCTTCCGGTCCAGCTCTCTGCTATGGCCTGGGAAAGCAATAGAAGGTGACCCAAGTGCTTGGGCTTCTACCACCCATGTGGGAGTCCTGGATTGACTTATGGTTCCCAGTTTGGTCTTGGCCCAGCAACTTCCTGGTTCCCAGCTTGGTCTTGGCCCAGCACCAGCCTTGATGGGCATCTGGGGAGTGAACCCTGTAGATGGGAGTGCTGTTTGTCTTGTATCTCTCTGCCTCCCAGTTAAGTAAATGAATAAAGGAAAACCAAAATCAAATGCAATACTTTCACAATGCATTTAAAATAAATCATTTACAAGGCATTTAAAATAAATAATTTAACATACCATGTGCTTGAAGTTGGTAAAAGATTTGGGGTATATGGTACAGCAGCGATTGTGAAGTTCTGTAATCCACTTCCACCCATGATATTAGCAAATCCACCATGCGGGACCCTGGAACTAAGAATTCATATGTTGTAACCATGAAAGCATAATTTTTCTGATAAATAATTCAAGTTCTAAGTTAGGATAAGAATATATTTAACATTAGGATGACAAGATGACATTTTTGAGACTTGCAAAACTCCAGGTTATTACTATAAGTTGCTCTATGGCCACTTAGAAGGCTTCCATGGAGATATACTTCCAGGTTTCCATAAATAATATCATGCTTTCAACTGGCAATGCCAATACCACTATTATTGCATTTAGAATGCTGCATTTACCATTATTTGCTTTCATATATCGAATAGTTAACTAGGATTAATTTGATGGCCCAAAGTCACATTTATATCTGTATGCCTCTGGTTAGCAAAATATCTGGCATCTAGTAGATAGTCATTAAATATTTGCTCAATAAACCAAATGTTTGGTTAATTTAGGCAGCAAAAGCTCATACATGTAATCCAAATGATCTCCCTATTTGTGAAAAATATCTAAGCTCAAAAGCTTTTTGTTCTACTTTGCTTTCACAGTCATAAAACTATAAAATTCTTCACATTTCCCTTACCTTTATTAGAAGCATTTTCTTTCAGAATATTTTTAAATATACAAAACAACATTTATGGGGTAGTAAGAATATCAAGCACATTTTTTAAAAATACCACCTAACATAAAAGCACCACAGAAAGGCTAACATTTAAGTATAACACATCATTAGAAATTTTAATATTGGGTACATGGTTGTAGAGAATGTAATCACACCTTCTTAATGTGTATACATCTGAAAGTATTTCAAATTAGTCTGGATATGTATTTATCTTGAGTAAACCAAGTGATCCTTGACAAAGTTTTGTTACTTTAAAATGAGATGCTTTAGTGCTTTTTAGATAAATTAGAATGCTGACAAAAAATCATTTAATAGGTAAGTATTAAGTGCTACTCAAAAAAGAAGCATGATTACAATTTAAAATATCTTCTAACACAGAATTCTTAGTAGAAAGCATATTTGGGTTGACTTTAATGCTGAACCTTAAATAGCCAAAACAATCTTGAAAAACAAAGGCAGCTCAAATTCTGATTTCAAACTTGCTATGAACTACAGTAATCAAAACAGTGCTGGCATAAAGACAGACATATAAACAAAGAGCCCAGAAATAACCCCTCACATACAGGTCAGATAATTTTTAACAAGAATGCCAAGATATTCAACAGGAAAAGGACAGTCTTTTCAACAGGGTGTACAGAGAAAATTGATTATCAGCTGGAAAGTAGCAACTCAGGAATCCCTAGTGCATATGCAAACACATGGAGACTGAACAACATGCTCCTGAATGAACAGTGCGTCTAGAAGAAATCAAAAGAGGAATCAAAAACTTTCTGGAAGTAAATGAGGATAACAATACAACATATCAAAACTTATGGGATACAGTAAAAGCAGAGTTAAGAGGAAAGTTTATAGCAATAGGTGCCTACATCAAGAAATTGGAAAGGCACCAAACAAATGAGCTATCAATGCATCGCAAGGATAGAAAAAAAACTGCAGCAAACCAGACCCAAATCTAGTAGGAGAAGAGAAATAATTAAAATTAGAGAAAAAATCAACAGAACTGAATCCAAAAAAATTACAAAAGATCAGTAAAACGAAGAGCTGTTTTTTTGATGGGTGTGTACTTGATAGGCCAAGGCCTATGTTGAAGAATGTAAACCTTCAAGATGGCTTCTCTTGGCCGGCTGCTGGTCTGGGTGAGGAGATGCTGGAGTCCCCAATCTCTCTTTGCTTTATATACCTTCTCTTTTTTTGTTCCCCTATGTGGAACTTCAAAAGCAGTTCACCTGTCTCCCCCTTCTGCTGCTACTTGCAGCTCTGTGGACCCCATTTACCATTATTTGCTTTCATATATCATTAACAAAAACTAACTTAAAAGAGATTAGAAAAATCCCTTAGGGGGGTTTTAAGATGGCAGTTTAGCAACAGGACGTTCCAAGGCAGGCGGGGCAAAATAGATAGTTAAAAGGGAGAGAAGTTAAACGCCAGAGATAGAGCCCGGGATATTTACCACAGGAAACCCAGGAGGCCAACATAGACGGGGCTAGTCCATGCTGAAAGAGCAAATCAGGAGGAGAAACAGAGGACACAGGAGGTGCAGACTGTCAGGGAGGAGGGCGCCAGATTAGATTAGATAACAAGATAGGAAATTGGGGGTCCACAGCTTCATTCCACTGTGGTCTGAGAAGCTGCATGGTATGATTTCAATTCTTTTAAATTTGCTGAGACTTGCTTTATGGCCTAGTATGTGGTCAATCCTAGAGAAGGTTCCATGTACTGCTGAGAAGAATGTTAATTCTTTAAGTGTAGGATGAAAAGTTCTATAGATATCTGTTAGATCCATTTGGGCTATAGTGTCGATTAAATCTACTGTTTCCTTGTTGATCTTCTGTCTAGTTGATCTGACTATTGCTGAAAGTGGAGTATTGAAGTCCCCCTGTACTACTGTATTGGAGTCTTAAGTCTCCCTTTAAGTTCCTTAACATATCTTTTAAATAAACCGGCTGTAATTAGGTGCATATAAGTTTATAATAGTTACATCTTCCTGTTGAATTGATCCCTTAATCATTATATAGTGCCCCTCTTGGTCTTTCTTAACAGTTTTTGTGTTAAAGTTTATTTTGTCTGATATTAAGATGGCTACACCCGCTCTTTTTTCATTTCTGTTGAAATGGAAAATCTTTTTCCAACCTTTCACTTTCAGTCTGCATGCATCTTTGTTGGAAAGATGTGTTTCTTATACACAGCAAATATATGGGTTTTGGTTTTTAATCCATTCAGCCAGTCTGTGTCTTTTAATTGGAGAGTTGGGGCCACTTCCATTCAATGTAACTTTGCCCTGCCATTTTTCCAAAGATATTTCTAATCTATGCTTTGAACTTCCTGTGATCTTTTACTGGGAGGTTTTCTTCCTTTACCTTCTTTTGTATTGATGGCTGTGTTTCTGTGCTTCTGTGTGTAACACATCTTTAAGCATCTTTTGCAGGGCTGGACGAGTGGCAACAAATTCTTTCAATTTCTGTTTGCTATGAAAGGCCTTTATTTCACCTTCATTCACAAATGAGAGCTTTGCAGGATACAATATTCTGGGATGGCAGTTTTTTTTCTCTTAGTACTTAGGCTATATCTCACCATTCCCTCCTAGCCTGTAAGGTTTCTTATGAGAAGTCTGCTGTGAGTCTGATTGGAGTTCCCCTGAGAGTAATCTGACGTTTCTCTCTTGCACATTTTAGAATCTTTTCTTTATGTTTCACTGTGGTGAGTTTAATTACAACGTGTCGTGGTGAGGATCTCTTTTGGTCATGTTTATTGGGGATTATATGTATTTCCTGTACTTGGATGTCTCTTTCCTTCTCCAAACCTGGGAAGTTTTCTGCTAGTATCTCACTAAAAAGGCCTTCTAATCCCTTCTCTCTGTCCATTCTTTCAGGAACTCCTAGAACCCAAATGCTGGGTTTTTTTTTTAATAGTATCCTGTAGGCTCCCAACAATGTTTTTAGATTTCTAATTTCCTCTTCTTTTCTTTGGTTTGACTATATACTTTCCTGTGCTCTGTCTTCTAAGTCCACTATTTTCTCTTCTACCTCACTGATTCTGTTTTTAAGGCTCTCAAATGTGTGTTTCATTTGTTCTATTGAATTCTTCATTTCATTTTGGTTTCTCTTCAATATCTTAATTTCATGTTCTACTAAATTCTTCATTTCATTTTGATTCCTCCTTAAGATTTCATTTTCACAAGAGTGATTTCCTGTCCTGTCCTGTAAGGATTTCTGTAGTTAATGCATTTAGTTTTGATAACTTCTAAATATTCCTATCATAAATTTTTTGAAATCCTTATTTCGCATTTCTTCTATCTCATCATCTTCATAATTTTGTATTGGAGTGTCATGTTCATTTGGGTGTGTCATGATGTCTTCCTTGTTCTTGTTTCCTCGGTTTCTGCATTTGCTGTTTGGCATTGTGGAGCTATTCTTTGGTTTCTTCTTCTTTTTTTTTTCCTCGTTATATTATGACTCTAAATTAAGTGGCTTGTCTGCCTTTGGTGAATCTCTAAAGGCTTGTAGTGGGTGTGGCCAGAGAGCTCTGTTCAGTTTTTCAGGGTTAAGGGTATACCAAAGGTGACACACCCAGGTTTGGCATGGTAAATCTTCTCTCTCTCTTTTTTTATTCAGAAGGGAAGTAATTCCGCTCAGCCAAGCTCTTCTCGATGGCAATCAGTGCCTGACTGCTAGCCCCAGTGGGTGTAATATTTGTCTGCTCTGTCCCAAGGACCACACAAAGGATCTGTGCAGTTCTCAGTGTAAGCTCAGATTCCTCTGCAATATCTCTCACCAGATAACCAAGGCCGCCCGAATTTGTGGCGTCTCCCACTGAGACTATTCATGTCTCAGCCACACCAGGAGTTCTCCCCACACCCTCAGTTTTTTTTTTTTTTTCCCATAGTTCTGGTTCATAAGCACCACACATTCACTAGTTCTTAGTCTCCTATTATTTCTCCCCATTAGAGTCATGTTTTTCTGCTTGGCTGAGGGTAGGCACACAGTCCTGAGCTGGCACAGCTGTTACATATGTCCAAAATGGCACCTGCTCTATTGTCTCACTCACCTTTGTAAGGTGAGTGGAGAGACAGAATCGTGTCTGTACTGGTCCCTTTTATTATTTTTTTCTCTCCTCTAGTTAGCCTGGTGTACTTTCCCCCACGGGGCTTCAAGCCTCATTCCCTCCAGGCTCTTCCTGCTGCTATTCCACCAGTGCTTCAGGCTACTACTCTAAGCAAACTGTGTATAGAAGGGACATTCCTCAATGCAATCAAAGCAATCTATGAAAAACCCATGGCCAACATCCTATTGAATGGGGAAAAGTTGGAAGCATTTCCACTGAGATCTGGTACCAGACAGGGAAGCCCACTCTCACCACTGCTATTCAACCTAGTTCTGGAAGTTCTAGCCAGAGCTATTAGGCAAGAAAAAGA